AGACTCGTTGTCGGGGGTTTCTTTGGCGGGTGGACTATGAATTTGGGTTGTTGTTACTCTGCTCTCTCTCTCTCTCTCTCTCTCTCTCTCTCTCTCTCTCTCTCTAGTAGTGGAAGGGATTTTGATGCAGGAGGCTCTCCGATTGGTCTTTGGATGTAAGTACTGGTTAGGTTTTGTTTTGGGTTTGTTTCGATGATGGATAAGCACACCCATCAGATCCCAGTTGTGAGAGAGCTGCTCAGAAGGTGTAAGCTCCGAAAACTTCCGTCGGGCAACGACGAACCGTCAAGGCGTCAACCCATCATATCCCAGCTGCGTTTCTCTTTTTTCTAGGAAGCGCAATCGATTTCGTGAAGGATCTGGTGTAGACCCATCAGATCCCAGTTGTGTTTCTCTTCTTCAGGGCAGCAGCAACACCGTCGGCGGAGACATCTGAGACCAGCCCAACGTCTTGTTCCTTGAAATTCCATATTCGTCGGTTGTGAGCAAAGTTCTAGTCGTATTTGGTCACCGGAGGAGATGCCTTTTCATCTCGATAAAAGAGGGGAAGGAGACACCTTTTCATCTCCTTTTTTTGTTTTATTATTTTTTGGTTTTTTAAATTAGTTAATTAATTTATTAACTAATTTATTTTTGAATTAAAATATGGCATGACACTTATGTGGCAAGTGTGGTTAAGTTGTCGCTGACATGTGTGATGGTTTGGCATCCTAGTCAGTCTAACGTTAACCTAACTGACGGAGTTTCTAACACCTTTAAAGTTTCTAAAAGAAATGGCTAGATTTGTCACACGACCATCTATTTTTTTGAATATTTTGTGTTTTCCGGTAGTTATGGCTATATTTATTACAAACGTGAAAGTTATGACTATAAAAATGTATTTTGCCAATGTTAAACATAATTAAGGTAATAGGGGCAACAAATCATGACTATAGGAAAAATAGGGAAAGAAGAGACAAAAAGTTTGGACTAAACCAAAGTTACTAGTATGGAATTTATAAAAAAAAAGAACGAGGACATTAATGAAACAAAAATGCCAATAACCTATTATTAGAAGAATATGATCCCTCTTTGTCAAATAACATGTTTGTAGTATTTTGAGAATAACATATGTTAATCACTGCATCCTTTTTTCTCAAGTCAAAGATGTTATTTGACTCCAAATAACACAACCAAATCATCAATCCAAACAAACAAATCCTTCAATCATTTGTAAATGACTCATTTCTTCGTTATTTTAAAACGAGGGAATTGATATGCAAATCTCTCAACTAAAAACCTGGAAATTTAAATCGTGGGATTTAGATCAATTCTGCGTTTGGAAAAGGGTCAGATATTTTAGCCCAATTAAGCCCAATTACATGTTTAGCCCTCTCTTCTTCGTCTTCCTCCTCTTCGTTTCTTCATCTCATCTTCTGCAAAGATGTGAACTTCGTCCACCTTCTGCAAAGGGGAAACCACAAATCGACCCCTAGAACGTACAATCAGAGAATCGTTGGCTTTAATTGCAGACCCAGACAATTTCATACCTGCAACCGCCGACTCCGAACGAGGAGCAACGCATGTGACGAACTGAAGGCGAGGTCGATTTCCGACGAGGGTAGGGATAGCGAGGAAAGCCAAAAGAAATGGACGGCGATTACCTTTATTGTGAATCGATCTGATTGGCGGCGAATGGATATGATTGTAGCAGGCTTGAGAGGAAGGCGAGCCGATGAGGCCTGCGAGGGCCTAGGGAACGAGGCGGGACTGAGTGTCAATAGACAGAGCTTCGCTTGACTGCCGGAAGAAGCTGCTCGGAGTTTGAGGTTGTCGAAGAAAGGTAGAAGTCGACGACGACTGGAGAAAAAAAGGAAGAAAAAAGGTAGCTGCTCGTAGAGAGGAAGATGAAGAAAGCAACCGATTAGGGGTAAGGTTTGGAAAAAAATGAAATACAAATGAGGGATTTGGAAATAGCTGATGGTGATCAGCTATTTTAAAAGCTCTCATTTGAGGGTTTTCTAAATTCCTAATTATAAAAACCTTCATACTTACCAAACGCAGAAATGTTTAAAATTCTGCATAATGAGAGATTGTGATTAAAATCCCTCATAAAAACCTTAATCCAAACGACCCCTTCAAATCAATTCTTTTTTTATTCAATATCCAATAATAACACTTTTCTATTTTGATCGTCATAAATCAATTATTTTCAATTATTTCCAAACAATAAGTTTTAATTATTTTTTATTAATCATTTTCAATTATTTCTAGTAAAATAGTTGTTATTATTTCGGAGACCGTTCAAACATAGTTTAAGTTTGATTATAAAATAATAATTTTCAAACCGTTAGAATTTGTAAAAAAAGTTAACATTATTTTTGTTTTTATGGATGAATAAAAAAATTCTATTAAGCACCAGAGTCCCTTTTAACTAAGGGTGCTCTCAAGTTTACAAATAGAACTTTTACAATCTGGAACCATAAAGAACTCTCCTTAACATGAAATTATTGTTCATAAATAATAAGTATTATTGTTCTATGGCTAATACTTAAATAATATGTTACATGTTGATTGCAAATTGGATTTTGTTTTTTGGTTGGCTTTATTAGAATAGAAACATGAAAATAAAACATATTTACAGGAAAAAATGGTAACATTATATATAATAATCCATCTAAAAAAACTCCTAACAGATAACATATTTGAACATATCAACATTGTCAAATATCTAAGTTTGTGAATTTCTATATTTGGCAAAATGACTAATTTTGTAAATACACAAAGCAAACACCCCCTTTTGTTGTTAGGGTGACCATATTATTATTCAACCAATAGAAAGTTACTGTTATACAGATTTTTAAATTAGGTATGTTTACTAATTTTATAGTATCAATATAAAACAAGCATATTTGTGATTTTGAAAAATCATTACTTCTCTAGAAAGAGTATTGTTTCTCTCTCCTCACTACGTTGTTGATCCATTGTAGAACATAGTAAAATTTACATGGTCAGTAACCAAGATCGTTTCTCACTGGACCTCTCATGTTCCCCTTACTCGGTTAGCAAGGGAATTGTTCTTGGGTTAGAAAAAACATGTTGTGCGGGTTAAGGTGCCACTCGAGTTGGGGTTACGTTTGAGTTCTTTGTATAAAATGAAACGAAATAAAAAGAAAATCAAAATACTTAATGGATGAGGTAAAGTTGCATGAGCGCGTTGCATATGCAAGCTTCCCCTAGAGCTTTTTAGACTCGGTTTGATCGATATTTATGTCATATGAGCTGCCTTATTTTTGCAATGGAATTTCATCATATTATATGTCCAACTTTTATTAGATCTAATAGGCTACAATGGATCCTATCGATTTCTCTCTAGATGAGCGAGAGAAATTCAACCGATGATAGAATGTGAGAAATGCTCGTATCGAGTCTTATCCAACACAAAACATATTTGAAGCTATAAACGAGTGAGACTATAGCTTTAATTAAGCATACAATCATATTGACAAGAAACTATCCAAAGAAACCAAACAATCAAATTACCCATATAATCAATAGTCACCCGACCTTGTGACCTTGCTTCACTTTGCTGTAGATCAGCTTGACAGCTTCAACAAGGCTTTCCAAGTGTTAGGCCAGTCTGCTATCCCTCTGCCAAAGATTGTAGAAAATCACATGCAAGGAGGAAGGACGACAACAAAATAAGTGTTTTCTATCCTACTCAACCCCTTGACACAAAACATAATAAGCATCATAGATTTTCTCCACTTCCTGAGTTTATCTCTAGTTGTAATTCTATTGAGCATTATCAACCAAGAGAAAAGTATATATTTGGGGATAATATGCTTGCTCCATAACACATGCCACCATTCCACCTTAGGTTTACGAACTCTAATAGAGTGCCAGATTTGTTTAATAGATGGGTCGTTTGGATGAGGAATTCTAATTGATCAATTTGACACAATTGTCTCGTTTTGAGTGATCAATTGTGCTAGATTGATCCGTTTGGCAGCAGAAATTTTGGATGAAGCAATTTGGGCTGGGAATTCTGAATTGACTCATTTTGAGCCAATTACAATTGTCTGGGGTGGGGGCATGTAATCTGAATTGACTCGTTTTAAATGACTCGTTTTGTAAAATGAAACAATTGGTCAAATTGTCTCGTTTTATAATTGATCCATCCAAACGACCCCCGGAAACAAGTTTCCGTTCCCATGCGACTCTTGCTTCCACATCCGCATTCATTCGAAACTGAAACCACCCTCGAATTGAAAAAAGCTTCCTCCAGATCCATGAGCCAGAAGTTGTAGCAAACTTGTCCCTAAGTTTGTATCTTCTTACCACGCAACCTATAAACTACCACCTTGCATCAGTAGTAGCCATAATAATCTTGTAACACAAGCAATGTTCCAGCTTCCCAAATCCCTTGACCCCATATGCCTCCTTCCTTCTTAGGTAGTGCTATATTGTCCCAAAGAACTTTAACCTTACCAGCATAAGATAACTTGCTAGCATGCCATGATATAATCCTACTTATTATCTTATCCACAAGTACTTTACACTCCTACTAGATAACTGACCAAAAATTATTGGAAGGCCTATATATATATAATCTTTAAGAGTTTGAGAATAGTTCCAAATTCCAAACTTCGGTTAATTCAAGGTCTAGATATCTTTTTTATGAAAGTGATATATTATAGAGAATAAACAAAGCAGTCTGTACAACCCAGAGATCAAAAGGGTTGATCTCGAGGGAAGAAAAGGCGAAAAGAGAAAAACAAAAAACAGAGCCAAAGGCAGAAATCGAAAACAGAACAAAAGAAAAAGAAGGCAGGAGCTAGCAGAACGGACCAGATCGTTCCAGCTAGTTCACACAAGAAAAGATAAGAGTAACCAGAAAACCACCCGGAGCATACAAAGAAAAAGAAAGCTGCAACGGACAGCGAGCGGCAAAGGAAACCTCCTGCCAGCGATAATCCTGAAGACTGCCTCACAGAACTGCATCGAGCGACCAAAAGCCATCATCCATGAATCTGTCGAGAGCAATCCCGAAGCCAGGAAGCGGCACTCCGATTATCTATTTTTCGATTTGCCACTCCCCAACCCACAACACTCTTCAGGGTTTTCCCAGCAGTATGATCTGGGTCTCTCATATCACCATTGAAGATTCTGCTATTCCTTTCAATCCAAATGAACCAAGATACAACGTGAAGAGCACAATAGCTGAACCAACCCTCCATTCCATCCGGGATATCAACTAGCCAATTCTTCAGAGTAGTGTCGATGTTGTTGCCAAGAGGGAACCGAAGATGTCTGCAAATTCTTTTGATGATGTTCCATACTTGTTTAGTGTAGGTACACTCAGCGAGAAGATGGTTTGCCGTTTCTTCTTCCTTGCAACACAACTCGCATCTGCTAGCTAGATTCCATCCTTGTCTTTTCATCCTGTCTTGCATTAAAATCTTGTTGTGAGCCACGGACCACATGAAGAAACATATCTTCGAGGGCACGATCTTCCTCCAAACCGAGACTGTTGGGAAATTGGAAACTCCAGGACACTTGATATCGAGCAAGGATCTGTACATAGAGTTGACCGAGAACCCTGACTCCGGATCAGGAAGCCACACAAGCCTGCACGGACTATTAGCGCAACTACTAAAATTAAAAGAATCAAGCAGTGATAACAAATTAAGCCTTTCCTGTTCAGCTCCCCTTCTCAGATCAAAATCAGTATGAATATGAAAAGAAACATTGTCACCTGAGAGTTTCACGATATCATTTTCTTACTCAATGTTCAACATACCCCGGATTTTACCCGGGGTACGATAGAATGGTCTATATATATATATATATGGTGACTTCTATACCCCAGGTGAAATCCGGGGTACCGTATACCTTGAGTATGAAATCTCGATCTAGACCTCGAATTAACAGGATTTTTGGACCTGATACTATACCCTAACTCTTAATGAGTGAACTCTAGGTCCTAGTTATCTAAATCATAAACTATAAACCCTAAGATGGGGCATTCATTTTTTTGCCTATATTTGCGCGAATCATAACCGTCGATTATTGTTTCTAATTAAATTGATCTCGGGGTATAGGATTTAGAGAATTAAGGCCTAGATTGTGATCTTTAAGGGTTAGAGTATAGTATCATGTCCGAAAATTCAATCAATTCAATGTCTAGATAGCGTTTTCATACTCAAGATATTTGGTAACATGGAAATGACTTCCTTAAATCCATATATATTGAGTGCATTAGCTTTGAATTGTGATGCAACCCCGCCAAAAAACACCTCACATTTCTTCGGGTTACAACTCAGACCAGACAAGATATGAAACAGTTCAAGGGTCTTCTTTATTCCATTTAAGGCAGGAGCAGAACCCTCGGGGAAGGCCAAGAAATCATCTGCAAAACATAGATGTGTACGATCAATTAATCTACACTGAGGGTGGTAAGGGATTTTTTGCTCTTGCAGATGCATCCAACAAACCATGTATGGCTTCAAGGAAAGAGTGAACATATAAGGAGATAGGGGGTCTCCCTGTCTGACCCTTTTTTGGCTTGGAAAAAAAAAAACAAATAGGGAACCATGTAGAACTTACATTGAAATGAGAAGAACTAAGACAATCCCTAATCCATTCAATGAACAAAGGGGGAAAGCTCATCTCATTCATCACGCAAAACAGGTAGGACCGTTCACTTCGGAGTCAAAATCTTTATGAAAATCTATATTGATAGCACATTGTGAAGCTTCTTATTGTAGTTCTGCATAATTTCTTCTATACAATTAGTATATTTTACAGAATACTCTTACCCTTAATAAAAGTTGATTGGTTTCTACTTACTACCTCAGGCAGGACTAACTGGATTTTGTTTGCTAAAACTTTGGCAATGTGATGTGATCCCGAAGTCTTCTTAGAGAGCTGGTCCACATGCAACTGAACGTATCTCTGCCTTGCTAAGTGCTAGAGAAATGAATTACCAAGAATTTATCTTGCATTACAATTTAATTACCAAATTTTCTTATCTGGGTACAACTTTTCGTGTATTTTTTATCTTTAATTTTCTTAAGATTCGTAATTATGAATGGAATCCAACATTCATACCTAAATGAAATCCATGCACGTCCTTCTATCTAGTTCCACAAAAGCCCCTTTCCAAAAGGTTGGAGCAATTTTATTGATGCTAGCCCATACAAACTAGCACATTTTTTCTTTCAGTGCATCCAGTTTTCCATTCGAAGGTTCGTTTGGATACTTAGCCTAAAGTAGATATATTTGAATCTTGAGTTGGTTGGCTAAGATTTAGTCTCTTTGTTTTGGCAGTCCACTACAATGTGATTTGTTCTTTCGTGATGCACAGGGTTCTCTGACATATGTATTTACATCAGACAAACTGTCACAATATATCATGTAAGGCGGCTTCAGATGAGCTAGAAACGGCGGGAAGAAGGTTGTCATCAATTACATGAAAGTGTATGCTAGAGCACAATATTCTACTTCACGTGATGATCTACTCATTGTCTGATGTTTCTTGAAATGCCAACTGATGAGAGTTTGACCTAGAAAGACACAAAAACCTGTCACATAAGCTCGAGTGTCTGGGTAGCTAGCCTAGTAAGAGTATGAAAAATAGTTAACCAAGTTGTAAAATTAGCGTGGAAGAAGATAAATTTATAAGGGAGGAGTTGTTTTAATACATCTCAATAATATATATGAGTAGCCTACTCATGAGAAGTAGTAGGAGCATCAACAAACTAGCTTAGTTGGTTTATTGTGCAACAGTTGTCAGGTCATGTGTTGAAAAGTTGCTAGAATTTGCCAACTGAAGTTCAATAACTACTATGAGATGTTGTATCTATTGGTTCTCCTTCGGTACAGATGAGTATTGCTTTGGCATTTTAATTTTTGGAAGACTATTTCATGTGAGAATAAAGTCATCCACATAAAACAATATTATTGTAAATGAACCACTAGTTTGTAGAGTGGTTGTCAATATGGAAAACCATTATCCTACTGAATTAGACTGAATTCGAACCAATATCCATGGATGTGGAATTGTGGATATTTTGGTCATCTTATGATTAGTAATCAACATCCTAACTATTTTTCCTACCATGTAGTTCTTATCCTATATCTTTAACTACACTGCTTTTTAGAATTTATCAATCAGGTCCTATATTACTAAGTGCCGACGTTTGCCATTTGTGTACAGGAAGCTGGTGGAGAGATACTGGAAAGCAAAAGGGTTTTCTTTCATTGTGCAGTGCACAGAAAAATATCGCTTTGCATGGGAAATGGGTTTTTTTTTTTTTTTTTTGTGGGTTTCATGGAGACAGTTATTCCAATGTAATGATTTGGTCTGCCCGTTATCGATTGGAAAGGAGACGAGAAGACTGGAAGATATGGAAGGAAATTAAAAAAATCCACCAAAAATAAATAGGAAGAACAATGAGACTGGAAGTACTATATAGGAAGAATTATCTTGATGATGTGTGTTTTTCTTATGATGAGTGCTTACTGGGGCCATATTGCTTTAATTTAGTTTAGGGGAGTCATATTGATTTTTATTATGATTTATTAATGCATGATAAATCCACTCTAGAATTGAAGAATATGAAGAATTCGCAATGCAATCACTTAAGTCATATATATTGAGACTTAGGGGTCATTTGCTTTGTGGATTTGGATGATGAATTTGGTACCTTAAATTCATTCCATCATGGATTTAAAGACAATTCACCGTTTGCTTGCATTTTTTTTAGAGACAAAATCTGTGGGGTTCATGGATTTTAAGGGTCCAAATCTATGGATCGCACGAACTTGTAAATCCCACATATTGATGTGGGATATGTAACATGTCATAAATTCATGATGAGTTTTACTTATATACCCTCATGAACTTTTAAAATTCTAAATTTGCCCTCACATTTACTTATTGTACATTATAAATAATCAATTAATAAACAACAATGAAATAATATAAATATGCAACTAATAGCACACATGAGTTAGATTTTTATACCCTATTTTTGTATTCTAGTTTCCTTTTTACATTTTTCAATAAAACTTGTAATTCTTTGTTCCCCGGTTCTAATATATGTTGTTATATGTTACTTATGAAAAGGAGGACAAAGAATTGGTAACTGGTATATGTTATGTTAAAAGTTAAACAAAATTTTCCCGTTTATTATTATTATTATTATTATCCTTGTGGAAATATTATGCTTATTAGCACGTATTGTTTTTGTTTTGTGTGCATATCATAAACATTACAAATAAATAGAAAAGGATAGTATGGTAATTTTGGACTTTAAGTTTTAAATCTCAAACCCTTAAATCCATGATAAAACATCTCAACAAACAAAGAATTATTACAAATTCATAATGGATCAAATCCTTGGATTTTTAAATTACAAAACCCTCATTTTTAAATCCATGAAGCAAACGACCCCTTACTTACGGAAAGGATTGGCCCAATAGAATGCAAGATTGTGAACATAAAATCCATCGTCTTTTTCACCATAGATTCTTGATTTTGATCCAACAAACATTCTCAGGAGTTTTAGTAAGGAATAACAATGTGACAGGTCGGACTTGTACTTCAATACTCATATTTATCTTGTGGATAGTTGATAGTGAGGATTATGTTTAAGGTGGCTCCGGTGTAAAAAAAAACTTATTTTTTATTACTTTTCAATAATACAACTAGTTTTCTTATTTTAAACATTTTAAATGCATTTATCATCAAAACGGTAAATAATGTGACAACAACATATCCATGAAAAATTTATTCATAGTTTCATTACTGACTTGACATTGAATTGTGTTCTTCTCGTACATCATTGTGGAAAACATTATTTCAAAACTTCTATTGATTGATAGTAACAATACTAATTTTACAAGTCGATACGTCTACGGTACCTAGGGTGAAATCCGGGGTACCGCATACTTTGAGTAAGAAAATGTTATCCAGAACTTGAATTGATTGATCTTTCGGACATGATACTATACTCTAACCCTAAAAGATCAAAATCTAGGTCTTAATTCTCTAAATCTTATACCCCAAGATCAATTTAATAAGAAACAATAATCGACAGTTATGATTCGTCCAAATACAGGCAAAAAAATCAATGCACCATATGAAGGTTTATAGTTTATGATTTAGATAATTAGGACCTAAGGTTCACTCATTAAGGGTTTATAGTTTATAATATCATGCCCAAAAAACCTGCTAATTCAAGGTCTAGATAGCATTTTTATACTCAAGATATCCAGTACCCCGGATTTCACTCGGGGTACCGTAGAAGGCACCATATATATATATATATAAGTGGAAAAAGTCAATTAGAAAACTAATTATGATTCATCGATATGTATGCTTCTTGATAATAAGAAAATATTTTGATTTTAATAATACTCCCAGCACTCCAATATCGTTGTTTTTTTTATTGTTGCCAACCAGAGCCAATGTGGTGCCAAGGACCTACCTTGGCACGAGGTGGCTCCGCATCGCATTTAAGTAAGGTATTTTGTTTTGGAAACCGGTCGGGGAAAGTCAACCTAAACGAGTATGTAT